TGATAATAAATAATACAATAATAATCCTTTAGAAGTTCTATCTATCTCCATTGTCTCATGTTTAACTCTTTCTGAGTAAAAATATACTTAAAACTCTTGTGATCAGTAAAGACTTCAAATATCCACCCAAACAAGTAATGCCTCCAAATCTTTTGAGCAAAATAATTACTGTCAATTCCAAATAATGAATTGGATAATTTATTTCATATCTTTTTAGTTATCTAGAAGCATAAACAATCACTTTTCCCTTTTTGCATCAACACATCCAAGGGCCTTTCTACCATATCAGCATATACTTAGACTTTTAATGCTTACTCAGACTTCTATTTCAATTTCTACAAAATAAGAACTGTAATTTCTAACCTTTTGTTATTAAATTGCTTGTAACTTTATACTGGGAACTCAGATTCATACAAAGTATAATTTATCAAAAATTAGACTTATAAATCTTTTTGTGTATATCTGATGTGAATGCTTTAGAGTATAAATGCCTATTGAAGTATTTGTTCTAATCAACTCTATTAATTCTACAAAATAGAGATAATATTCTCTGACCTTTGGTTATTAAATTATTTATAACTCCATGTTGGAAACTCTTATTCATACAAAACATGATTGATCTAAAACTAGATTGATACATCTTTCGATTGAAGCCTATTTTGTACAAATTAGAGCATAATTGATTATCCAAATAATTTATGCAATGTGCCTCTCAAATTCTGTCAAAATCGAGCTTTGGTCGATTTCACCTATTCTTGTTTCATCTCTTTGGAAATTTATTTCTGCTAAGATCCTTACTTCAGTTGAGCTTTACATTATTACTTCGAATTCATATATACTCTTGTCCTAGAAGTATTTACATACCTGAATCTATTATGTAAATTTCATATTTGTATCGTAATGTTTTATATAGGCACATTGCTAGAAATAGTAAAGATATTATTTGGACCTTTACCAGAAATGGTAAAGGGTATGTATTTAGAGCCTGCGATGCTCTAGATTATGTTTGGTGGTCATTCATAAATGGATAGACCATATTATGTTATGAAACTATTTCACCATCTATGTATTTGATATTATATCCAAAGCTTTGGTTTTGTGCTTCTATATGTGCTTTGGATAAGAATGAAATGTATGCAACATCAAATGCGACGTTTGAGCTTTTGTTTTGTATTATTCTTTGATATGTTCCGAAATACTTCTTATGCTTCTAAAACATTTTATATATCGTTAATATACTCCAAAATATTTCATATGCTATTGATATATTCTAAAATATTTTATACCTCATTGATTTGCTCTGAAATATTTTATATATCATTGATATGCTCCGACACATTCCATATGCCATTGATATGATCCAAAATACTTCATATACCATTGATATATTCTGAAATATTTAATCCGCCATTAATATGCTCCGAAATATTTCATATGCCATTGATATGCTCCGAAACATTTCATATGTCATTGATATGCTCCAAAATGTTTTATATGTTATTGATATGTTCCGAAGCATTTCATCCGCCATTGATATGTTCTAAAATGTTTCATCCGCCATTGATATGCTCTAAAATATTTCATATGTCATTGATATATTCTGAAACATTTCATACACCATTGATATGCTCCGAAATATTTCATCTGTTATTGGTATGATTCGAAATGTTTCTTATGTCATTGATATGTTCCAAAATATTTTATACGTCATTAAAATGCCTCAAAATACTCTTTATGTCATTGATATGCTCCAATTAGTCTTTACTCACTTATTATGAACAATACATGCTTTAAATGAAATGATATTGTAATTATGCATTCATTGAGTAGCTATCTATGAACTCTTATATACTTGTATTGTATTTGGTACCTTATTTATTTAAAACCATCCTCTTTCACTATGGATATATTAGTCACTTACTGAGCTCTATATGCTCACTTCGTTGCTATATTAAATTGTCAAGATAGTTTGTCACTCGCTAAAATATTTAAATTGGGCTAAGGCTGTAGAAAACTAGAAGATTTTAAGACAAATCTTTAGTGGATGATATGTTTTTATTATAAAAGTACACTTGGTGTCTAATAGAATGTTGATGGTAAACCTGAACTTATGAGTTTTGTAAAAGTTTAAAGAACCTTTCATGTTTAGGATTTTGGAGTGTTAAATTTAATTTATGTAATCAGAAAACAAAAACATCAAATTTTTTAAAAATTATGTTAATCGTCATGCGAAGATTGATGTGAAAAAATCCGTAAAACTTAAACCATGCGTGAGATAGTTGTGCTACCTAGGGAGATTATATATCCTTGAATCCTTGCAAATATATATGATAAGATGAAGGAGGTCAAGCGTCCTCCTCTCTAGCGATGATCCACACAATAGGGCTGTGACAACGCTTTTGAAATTACTGTCAAAATCTCCACACCTACTATTTAAGGAGGAGAAAGGGAGAGGAGAATAAGAGGTGGCAACCAAGAAGCCTCTGACCTATGGGTCTTTGGTTCTCTCCTATTTATAGAGACCCCCCTATCAACTTAACCCTAATAGATCTTGCTCTATTGGGTATTGGATCTCCATCCAACTACCCAAGCCTCTTAGATTAGTGGATCTCTATCCAATAATCTCTCTTGGCTCTTATTGGATCTCATCCATAGGATCTAATAATTCATGGGCTTATTGGATATCCAATAAGATAGGGTCTTCGGCAGATACCTCATTTCCAAACCTCTACTCGTCGTAATGCCTACGATATGTATGTGACCATCTAGGCCCAATATCGAGCTAGTTGTGAGTCATACCTGTCAGAACTACTTCTGGCTCAGTGAATTATTATCTTCATAATAATTTACTCGACTCATCGACTATGGACGTACTATGCCACTACGCCGTAGCCCCCAAACGATATAGGTGAATTCAATCCTTTGGACCTATCTACCCTCAGTTACTATGTAACTATAGTCTCTCATCTATCTAATATCTTATAGACTATATATCAGACATTGTGCTGTTAGACCCATATGGTTTCTACTCGAGTCTCGCTCTGATTTAATTTTCCCGAAGAACTCTTTCTCTCTCAATCTGAATAACCCTGACCAGGGATTTGTTTGAATAAGAACACATAGGATATTTTTCTCATGACATCGAGAGAAGATGATCCTCTATCGATGCTCAATAGCCCTCGTAAGGCTGACTGTCACTCTCGATGACTAGTTGTGCTAAATTTGAAACTTTCAAACCTATAAGTCTGGTATCAAAGAATAGAGTACTCATACAAGATATTCTTGGTGTCTCAAGTCTAAGAACTAGGTACACTACTAGGATAATGGAATCGCTGTCTGACAATGAGGTATCATTAACCATATAACATTCTATGAGCGGATTAATTAGTGAACTCATTCTCCAATAAGCACCTGCACTGTAGCCCTAGTATTCCCACACGAGCAACTATGAGACTAACTGTTTCCATCATATGAACGGGGATATAGCATACCAGTCTATCTGGTTATCTTGATATCTCTCTCGAGTAACATATGACAAGGAGTATTTACGGTTCGTGTTTGTTAGTGAATCGATCTCATTATTATGATCTCATCACGATCCGATTCTCATTAAATATATTCATGGACATCACTATATAAAATAAGCAGTATAAAGTAATAAAATATTAAATAATATAATAAGTAAAAAGAGTGTGTGTCGTGTCACATGTGTCATCACTTATGTGATTAACTTGTAGGGCATAACTAGCAATTTAGAACTGATCACTTTACCTTCCAATTCTCATTAAATATATTCATGGACATTACTATATAAAATAAGCAGTATAAAGTAATAAAATGTTAAATAATATAATAAGTAAAAAGAGTGTGTGTCGTGTCACATGTGTCATCACTTACGTGATTAACTTGTAGGGCACTATGACTAGCAATTTTGAACTATCACTTTACCTTCCAATTTTGTAACTCTTGGCTGATTAATATATTTTTTATTTTTAAAAAAATATTATAAATAAAACACCATGTGATCCAAGAAAAGTTTATCTTACACCTCAATCCTGCTAAATCATATAGAAGGGGAGATAAGTGATAAGAATGCGTCTCAGATTGTTTCTTCTTCATAATCAACAATGGGGAGGTCACCTTGGAGATGATGGAGTGTCGCTTCCGGCTATTGTGGTAAGCCTAGAAAAAAAAAAATCATATGACGTACTGGACTCTAGAAGGAAAAAAACAAAGAAATAATAAAACTATCCAAAAAAAAAAATCATCCTCGTCTCTCTTCTTCTTAACAACTTGAATCTATTTTTTGAATTTAGAGTATTTGAATTTGGATTAAAAGGCTAATAAATATTTTAAATAATAATTTAAAGGATAAAACTTAAGAAGAATCCACAAGAGCATAATCATTGTCCCAAGATAAAGTATCATCCTTGCATTTGGGATTGATAGTTTGGAATTAATTGAGAGATTCAATTGGTATTATCCCTCTGACAAGTGTAAATCAAGAAATAAAAATATAACTGATGAAGAAAATAAAAGAGGAGGAATATTTTGTTCATCTACAATGATTTTAATTGAGGTTGTTTACTTTGAGAGGATAGTTACTATAACTATCAAAAATATTTTTTTATTAAAATTTGAGTTTTAAAATATATCTCCAATAGTCAGCTCTATTAGTAGTTGCTATTGGATTTTAGACAATAATTCATCATATTACCAATGACATTCGGAAATTCCTCTAACTTGAATGCCTACAAGAACCTCCATCTATCTATCTAGTGGTAGTTTGAACATAAATAACATGACCAAAGTTTAGGACTTCTAACTTAACGTTTGTTAGAGGAAGATGTTGTTGAGATATGAGACGGAAATAACAAGAGGTTCTTCAACATCAAACATCTCAATCATAGTTGTATTGCATGCCCCCTCATCAGTGACTCATTTCTTTGGAGCACAGCAGCAAAACTGGTATGGCATATACATATAAAGAAGCTCAGGGATTTCCAGTGCACTTGTTTGTTTGCCAGATAATTTAACATCTTTGTATAACTATAACCATTTGTGCCACATCTCAATCACTACTCTCTTATCAGTTCCTCACACATCTGGAAGAATGTGCTGCCACTGCACTTGGTTATTTACACGGCAGCAAAATCTATAGACAGGTTCACAATTTACAGGTGTGTGCTTAAAACTTCTAAATCAAAATGCCACTGTCCGGTTACCACGAACAGGAATCCTCTTTTCATATTTTATAAAACCCTTGCATAGAGAATGAAAACAACAACAGATGTCTGTGACCCATCAAGTGCTACTTATTGCTGAACAGGAGGATATATGGAAGCAAGACTTAATTTTCCCAGTACTCCTCCGTGAATTGCTGATCCTTATGTATCATTGAAGTAGACTATGCATCAATTCCAGGGCCTGGATACGCTGGCAGACTCAAAATTCGTTTATCCAGCACAGGGCTTCCAATGGTGAAGTGGTAAAGGCTCTGGAACTCCAACCCTTGCAGACCAAGAACCTCATGAACTGCAAAATAATATATCAAAATTTAATGGCAGTTATTACAACTTGCGATTTTATAAACTTTGGACATGCATCTATTCTTTCAACACAAACAAGAAGCAATTGCTCTCTAATGGAATATATTTATCAATTATATATTCTCATAATGCATGAGTAGTCATCAACGTAGAGGAGAGAACTACTCTGTTAACTATTCAGAATCCCTACCATGTTGCTGAAATATGTTGATGACTGCCTACAAGCTCAGCTACAATTGGCTCTCTGGCAAGAAGCTACTGAAGTAGAGCTTATAAGACGCAGGTCAGGATAGCTAAACGAGGAAAGGGTGCGGGATCATGTTTTCATGTGGGAATGGTGACTATCTCTTAGCTCGAGGAAGTACAGATGTTTATATAAGATTTTCACAACATGTGATGATTACACATTTTATACACATAAGCTTCTTTTGTCGCTCACTACTAGCAAAGTAATTCGTGCAGGTGCAGAACTATGCTTATCCTGATGCAAAACATATGACGTAGTCCCAAAGAATGAACAGAAAGGGTACTCTAAATACCTTGTGATACTAATTTGTTCCTGCCCTTATGCTGAAGAAGGTAAACTGACCAATACCGGACATAAATAGAACTCTATGGATAAGAATAACAACCAGACAAATGACCATGTTGTGTCAATCTCTAAATAAATCGGTTCCTAAAGGCCTAGAGGCTTGCTAAATATATCTACATGATCAATTCGAATGCTTTCCGCCAAACAGGGAACTAATATTTATGTTTTAACTTTTTATTCATATGAAAGAATCACATGTTATTTACAATTTCTTCACTTTTTATGGTAAAAAATGCACTGAGATTAGAATTATCATAAAACATTTTGTTCATCTTTCATATCCCTTGAATGATCAGTAATCACAATTTGAAAAACTATACCTACACATAGCCCAAAGCAAAGAAGGAAGCATCAGCATCTCAAGCTCATCCTAATATGACTTGAACTGTGATACATGAATTATGTCATAAATATGTGCATTGAGGGGAAGAATTAGACAGTGTGCAAGAGGCCCAAAACATTCCCACATCCAAATGGTCAAATGGGTCCATAAAATGACAAGCCATGTCATAGCTCATAGATCTCATTGATACTACAGTGGCCAAAATCATGTCTGTAACTGCAAACTGCCGGTCTTCGTGGTGTTTCAGTCATTAATTTACTTCATCATTTTTTGTTGCTATCGATTGCCACTTAAATGTGTTTAGCCACTTATCATACATAGCAATTTTACATCTAGCATGTTTATTGTCATTGTACTAAGAGCATAAACAAGTAAAGAAGTTTGCATTTGCCCCTTAGAATGATAATGTGTTGTAAAACCACTTCACCCTAAGTAAGAATCCCAACCATGTGTCAGGCTTCTCTCCCACTTAAAAGTGCAAGTTGGTCTCCAATTCACGATTTAGAACCTCAAACTACCAATCAAGCTAAGGGTGTCATCTTTGTGCCCACAAACTTAGTTCCTTATAAAAACAGAATTATCTTCAGAGGATAGAAATAAATACCATGCGGTGATTGCACACAATGGCATGCCATGTAGCGTTGTTATATGCCAATGAAAAAACTTTATGACTTGTCTTGCACTGTAAGGATGCAAATGAGGAATAGAGTCAGCATATTTCGTCAAACCTTTACTACAACTGCAATCACCAACTTGCCTGAAACCTTCAGGAGACCTTAAATGAAGTCAGCCACTCATACTTGCCCATTGGTAGACATCATAATGTCAAACATGTTTGCAAACATCTTTCCATATATTAAGGCTTATATTGATAGTAGTATACTCATTAGACCTTTATAAGTCAATATTAGCCTTGCCCACTTTCGATATAGGACTAATTGAAAGGCTTGACGTCCTCGTCAAGGCTCAGCATAGCCCAAATCAAACCTTAGCATGGTGCATGTGAGGCGCAGCCCAGTGGTGGTTCCACGCTGTGACGAATCCTCTGACTCTATCCACGGATAGTCCTTTTCTACTCAAGCCCCTTACCATATACCCTAATAACTAGGTCAGCTTTGATACCAAATATCACGACCCAAGTCTATTAGGCTAATTGACCTATCAACTTTGTTTGGCTCAAACCACTAACCAAAATGCTTAAACTGAAGTTAATAGTAATACTCTCATCAGACCCTTATAAGTTAATCTTAGAATTGCCGAGTTTCAATGTGGGACTAATCAGAGTGTTACACAAAAACTTCAAGAGTATTTAGCATAGTAACCAGATAAAATTTGGTATAAACCAACTGGAAAATTTGTACATATATAAAAAGAGACCTAAGAAACATAAAGGAAATAGTCTAGTATACATACCGCTATATGATGTAATCTATAAAAATGAAAATGGTAAAGAAGAATTAAAATAAATAATCGAACAAATCAAAGGGGCAGATATAGATAGAGTAATTAGAATACTGTAAAAAATTCATAATCTACAAAAAAGGCAACTAAACAAGTGACCATACAAAAATGTATTTAGGACAACAAAAATCAATACAATTATAGAAGAAAATGAAAGAGATTTTGAAGTTAATGTACCTAAAATAGATTTTGATACTTTCCTAGAAGAAACCTTACTAGTAAAAGTTCGTTTAGACATTTTAGACAAAGAAAATATAGAAGAAGACTTTCAAAGCTTAAGTTTAGAAAAAGAAACACAAAGAATATAGGAGTCTGAGAAAAAGGACGTCGTCAACTTGAATTTGGGACTAGAGGATGTCTTAAAGAAATATTGATGAATGAAGGAGAAGCAAGCTCTAGTAGAGTAACGCAAGAACCAGGGCAAGGAGAAAAAATAGAATATAGGTACATTTGATGAGAAAAGAATGCCCCTGGTATAAATTTAGACAAAATAGCCATACAACAATGGGAGGAATATTTAGAAGATTGGGGGCAAAGGTCAACCTCATCACTAGAACTAGACGATTCATTATAGCACTTTAAGAGGATCATTAAGAGACATATTTCAAGAATATAATGCAAGTAAGCATATATCCTATCTAAAAGTTGTTGAAAAAAGGAATATACAACTACGGATACAATTCGCAAAAGCCATAGCAATAGGAGAATGGGTAATAGGAGATATCAAAAAAACAAGGGAAAAGTATGTAGGATATCTATAAAAAATAAGATGTTGCAATCTAAGTACTCTGGAAGAATATTCAAAAGCTTACCTAAGTTATCCAAGTCATGTGATGCATCCAATCTAGGAGGAAGATTACAAAGAGACTGGGCTAAACACGCAAAAGTTTCAGGAGTATTTAGCAAAGTTTTTAATCTCGTACCATACCGATGTACCGAGAATTGCTCGATACGGTATGGTACCGACATACCGAGCGATACGCATAAAATAGAGATATATCCTTCCAAAAATACTTGAAAAATAGAAAGAAAAAAAAAAGTGTTGCATGTTTTAGCTGAAAATGATATTTAAATTTATAAAAAATGGAGTCATTAGAAAAGAGTTAACTAATGACTCAACATCAAAAGCTGAAATCTATGGTTCATCCTATCATAAACTGATTTTTTTTAAAAATTATCTTGCAATAATTCCTGCATGTTTTAGCTGAAAATGATATTTAAATTTATAAATCTGAAGTATCAGACAATGACTTGCATCATATTATCTTCCTGAAATCATTGTTAAGACAATTTTAAGTACTGTATCTAGAATTTCAGCAGCTTTATGCTTTCATTTCAATTCAATGAGTTGCAGTAATCCTCTTCGAGACTCCATCAACACTTGTTCTACGTCAATTGCTACCAAAAATTCTTGGTTTAACAAGAAATTCTAACAATCAACATCAAAAGCTGAAATCTATGTTACCGCCCGGTACAAGTCGGCAATGATCAAAACTTCGATTGTTATCGCCCAATACGAGACCAAAAACCTGATACCACCTGGTAGCGGGCAATCTGCGTGCTGGTTTGCTGGCGGACTGATATGTACCGCCCGTACCAGGTGGTACGGTACAAAATTAAAAACCCTGACTATTTAGCATAGGACAAGCTATAAAATTTGCTAATTAACTTATGCACAAGTAGGCGAGGAAGATTACAAAGAAACTGGGCTAAACACACAAAAATTTCAGAAGTATTTAGCATAGGACAAGCAATAAAATTTTTCAATTAGCACAAGTATGCGAGGAAGTAAGATTATTGAAGGAGGGACGAACTTTATTCAGAAATAGAGGATTAGGATTAGGAATATGTAAAAAGTTTGCATACCATGAACCATAAGAATTCAGGTGCGAAAAACCAATGCAAAGGAGAAGACCATATACAGAATACAAGAATTATAGATCGAGTAAAAGTAGTAGGAAAAAGGTTACTTAAGAAGAAATATTATAGAAGATCAAGCAACAAACATCGTAACCTAAGTGACATCTGTATAGAAGAAAATATGAAAAGAAAAGTAAATGCTACTTATGTGGAGAAGAAGGCCATATAAAACCAAATTGCCCAAAACTAAAAATCCCTCTAAAATATGTAGAACTTCAGCAGTTAAGGCAAGAAATAGATGCTGATTCAGATAATTGTAACATATATAAAGTAGAAGAAATAGAAGATGATGCAGGAACAATTTAGTTTATATGTTATTTGAATAATTTTTCTTAGTTTTGAGATATCTACTCAAGACGAAGAAAAAGAAAACAAATATAGAAAAAGTGGAAGAAATCAAATTCATTATTGATTGAAGATTGCAAATCTTGATTGGAGATCTTAAATATTCATCTCTACAAAGATGAAAGCCTATCGATCAATAATATCATAAAAAAAAAGGCTATCGCTCAAATCAAGTCAAATATATTATCTTCTTCAAAGGAAAGAACAGATCACATATTTGACTTGATATGATTGTAATTTTCCTTAATTCTGTAATTTGCTTTAGATCTTTGTAATTGAGCTAGAAAAAGGGGCTAGAACATTATAATGCATCAATTAGAGATAAATCAATGAATTGAGCTCTTTCCCACCTTGTGCATGAGTGGTGCGAAGCCACATTTGTTTTCTAATGGAATGGTTCCATTGTCCACATGTGAGACGTATGGAGGTGTAAGGCCCTCGTCCTGGGAGTTCGCTCCTTCAGCTAGAGCGAGTCTGATAGTTATCCAAGTTTTCTCTATTATCTTTCAGTTATTATATTTTTTTTCTCCTTTTTTTTCTCTCTATCATCATAAAGAAATCCATTGCCACTTGTCCTATATCATAATGGCATCAAAGCTTTTGGTTTAGCCAATATGTTCTATCATCAAGGCTGATCTAAATCTCGATTATATGAACTCAAGTCGAGTTCCTACACAACGGAAGTGTCTGATGTAGGAACAATTTAGTTTATATGTTATTTAAATAAATTTTATTAGTCTTGAGATATTTCGCATTTGTCATAAGTTGCCACATGGTAACATCTACTCAAGGCAAAATAAAGAAAACAAATATAGAAAGAGTGGAAGAAATCAAATTCAATATTGATTGAAGATTACATATCTTGATTGGAGTTCTTAAATATTCATATTTACAAAGATGAAAGTTTGTCAATCAATAATATCATAAAAAAAGAAAGATTATCGCTCAAATCAAGTCAAGAATATTATCCTCTTCGAAGGAAGAAACAGATCATATATTTGATTTGATATAATTATAATTTCTTATTTCTATAATTTTCTTTTGATCTTTATACTTGAACCTATAAAAAGGGGCTAGAACATTGTAATGCATCAATTAGAGATAAATCAATAAATTCAGTTCTTTCCCACATTACGTGTGAGTGGCGTGAGACCATATTTGTTTTCCAATGGAATGATTCTATTATCCGATTGTGAGATGTTCGAAGGTGCAGGGCCTTCATCCTCGGAGTTCGCTCCTTGAGCTAAAGCGAGCCTAATAACTATCCATGTTTTTTTCTATTATCTTTCAGTTACTATTTTTCTTTCTCTTTTTATCTCTCTATCATCAAAAAGAAATTCATTGCTACTCATCCTACATCAGAAGATCTAGAGGAAATAAACCTTTTAGAATTAATAAATCCAAGAAATTATATAGAAATAGCGTAAAGGCAATTAATAATGTACGCACAAAAAATTGTATATTCATAACCACTATTATATTTTAGACTGAGGAATCAGATTATGCATGATACAAAAACATCAAGTACCTAAAGAATATCTCATAAAATTAGATAACACAAGTAAAATGGTAACATGTGACAATACACAATATGATTATGAATATTTTTATAACTAGTATATTAATACAAATATAAAATACAATATTCTATTTTCCAAGAACATTAGTTGTAGAAATACCTAAAGCAGTATTATTAATATTAGGAATAAATTTTATATAATCAATAACACATAAGCAAATGAATAGTAACTTTATTCCCAATAACAACAAATATAGTGGCAAAATAGAAGAAAGATAAGACACGATATTAGAAATAATAAAAAAGGATAGAAGAGATAGGACAATAGGAATTAATCTTGCAATTAATTAGGAGAAAAATAATATAAAGGCTAAAATAGATATAATAAATCCAAACATTACCATAATAACCTTAAATATAAATCCTTTAGACATGAAAGAATTTAATATACAAATCAAGGAATTATTTGAACTAGGAGTAATTAGAGAGAGTAGAAGTAGGTGTAGATCAGCAACATTCATATATGAAATCATTCTAAGATAAAATAAGGGAAGCTGCGACGAAGGAGAGAAGAGAGACGAGGGATTAGGGGTGCTGGGAGGAGAAGGGAGGGGGAGGATAGTGCCAAGGGGTTTGCAATGAAAGGGGGGAAGACGAAGGAGGGAGGAGAAGGTTGTGTGTGACGGTGGAGGAAGAGGAGAAAGAGAGGCATATACCGGGAGCAGAAGATGTCGTTGTCGCTGTCATCATTCGTTGATGGAGAGGAAGGTGCAACAGCCATCGCTCAAATCGAGGAAAAAGTCACAGCGACAAAAGCTCGCCAAAGAAAGACATTGTCGCTGCTACTGTCATTCACCGATAGAGAGGAAGACAATCGTTGCTTGCCGAGGAGCAGTCGCTAGAGAAAGAGACTATTTCGCCGTCATCACGATTACGGCACAAATACGTGGGGAGTGGTAGGGATAAGACTATTCTCATCTAGTTTAACCGAACCAAAGATTCAAATTTATTTGACTCAAGCTCGACCCAACCTGATTTTAATAAGGTGGGTGCCTAGCCCGCCCAACGCCTAGGCTAAGGTGCTTGGTTGAGGTCACCCGCCCGGCTCACTTATCGAGGGCTCAAGCCTCACCTGACCTTGCCTGGGCACCAAGCGAGCACCCGGTGACTTCACTGGTTCAGCCTATTCTCTTTGTAATCCTCCTCCTAAGCTGCCTTCAATTCCAGTTATATATTTTCCTATGTAGTATGGATTGGATGTTTCTCCTGATTGACTTAAATAACTTCGGTAAGCTTTTGAATATTCTCCTAGAGCACTTGGATTGCAACATCTTTTTTTTTCTAAGTATCTTATATACTTTGCCATTGTTTTGTCAATATCTCCTACTACCTATTCTCCTATTGCTATGATTGTTCTGAATTATATCCAACTTCTAAGTAAGATATATGCTTATTTCCATTATATGCTTGAAATATGTCTTTTAATGATCCTCTTAAAGAGCTATAAATAAAGTCTCTTAATAACGAATCATCTTCTAATTGTAAGAATGATAAGGTTAACATTTGTCCCCAATCTTCTAACTCTTCCTCCCATTGTTGTATGGGTATTTTGTCTAAATTTATAATAAGGCATTCTTTTCTCTACAAATGTACCTGTATTCCATTTCTTCTCCTTGCCTTTGGTCTACTAGAGCTTGCTTCTTCTTCATTCATCATTATTTCTTTAAGACTTTCTCCTTCAAATTGAGTTGGGACTCAAATTTCTTGCCAGGATGGGTTTTTCGAACCATTTCTCTACTCAAATCCTAACAAAGGACTGTTGACCCGCCCGGACTTTAGATGCAGGTGGGGTTAGTCCAGCCTGCAACATGGGGTACTAGCCCATTAGTGCAGCTGCATTGCAAAATGATACCAGAATGGGAATAAAGAAGGTAATGCTTTCTCTGGTCATAATGTAAATCTTCTCGCCAGAATAAAAAGAACTCATAATGTCAAAAATATGAGAAAGATAGCATAAGTTTGCTTAATCAAAATTACATTTTTGCTTCATGATCTCTATAAGAGTTTTTATTTTGAATTTCTTCTCAAATTTTATCATCTTAAGTTCTCTCTGTCATTTTCCTAACAATATCATCCATAGGACCGTCCCTTAAGTTTGGTGCATGAACTCCATAATCATATGCATGACACGAAAAAAAAAAGTGTTACATATGACACGGGACATTGTGTAACTAGATTTGACCTATAGATTAATGGTTCTAGAACTCTAAATGACTAATACTGAGTAGTCATAGATAGATAACTTCCACATAAAATTTTAGAAACAAAAGCCCCAGGGAATCTTGGTCAAAGGTATACCATGACTAAACTAGATATAGTCTTTTCCAACATCTCATTTTTGTTTCTGCTCCCAAAAATATCTTCTTCTGTCACCTTAATTTGTCTGCTAGAATCCATAAAATAAAATATGTGCCTTGGGCTAACCACAAATAATTGCAACACAAGGTTTAACATCAGAGAATCCACAATAGTCAAATACTGAACAAGAACTGTATCATATAAATGTAACAAGCACATACCATCATCATCAAAGTAGCAACCAATTCCAGTAGCCGATATCCCAACTGCATGTGCTTCCAGGTATAGTACTTGACCAAGAACTCCAGTCTCCCAGAACAGACGAGGATACATCCATGCACCCTTTTCATGCAGAACTGGCTCAAAACGAGCAACCATGCCTAGGCTAAAACACCCATCTGAGGCAATGTCCTACACTTTAAACAAAGGTTAAAGGTACAACGAGCTCCGAAAAGTTCCATTAATTCCTTAATCACAATGTTTTGAAAAGTGGGTCCATTTCATTTCCTGAACATCAAGCATGGGACAAGACGATTCAAGAACGATATTCTTCCATACCTAAGCTAACAGGATGGAGGTGGAGAAAATTATGGCAATTAAACAAAGAATAATTAGTTTCACCATACCTGATGGCACGAAAGTTGTTTGGCAAGCTCCCGACAGTCTCCTCGTGCAAGCCTATAGAGAGGAAGCCCAGAAGGGCAACCTTCCGGCCTCTCCCACTCGAACTCTGACCTCATTGCACTCTTTAGACGGTCAAGATGCTCCTCGTTCCTCACCAAGAAGTACAACCCCTTTGGCAAGTCCCGGACCCTATGAACAAACAGTGCTGCATGCACCTCTGCGTCCCATGTCAGGACTCTGAACGGCAACGTGAATTGCTTCCCCTGCTTCTCTCCGAGCCCCAATTCACCGGAAGGAAGGCAATGAAGCAAGATCTGGTAGAAGGTATCCTTCTCCAGTACATGCACGCCATCCATGTCGACAGCACTACGCCGCTTCCTGACCACCTGCCGGACCGTCATATCCTTGTAGAGATCAGGTGATATAAGCGGACTCCTATGGAATGGATTCACAGAGAACCCCTCACCGTACGTCGGCGGTTTCTTGACGGCCTCGGCCGTCTTGTAGATCACGTCCCAACAGACATGGTCCTTGCTGAGGGAATTGGGCTTGCCGAGCCACTCCATCGCCGGTAAGCGGGATAACGCCAAGGCAAGCTCGGCATAATCGACCGAGGGTGGAGTCTCGCCGAAGGGGAAGATCAAGAGGGCGCAGTCGGGGTGCTGAGACTCGACCCATGGGAGGCGGCCACGGACAGGGTGGTCGGGGAGCCTGTCGGGGGACGGGGGATTGGAGCGGTCGAGGCCGAGGAGGCGATGGAGGTCGTCGTGGCCAAGGCCATCGAGGAGGCAGACGTCCCAGCCGAGAGTAGCGGCAGAGACGGCGGTGGCGGCGAGGGCGTGGCCGACGTCATGGTTGCAGTATCGAAAGGCACGCTCGCCGTACTTCCAGGCCTCCCGCCAGAGGATGGAGGAGAAGGCGAGGAGCAGAGATCGGTGGAGGGGGAGGTCCGGCGGGGATATCGAGGCGCGGAGCTCGAGGGAGTGGTCCTTGGGTGAGTAATGGGCCAAGAAAGAAGAGGAAGAGAAAGGAGGAGGAGAGGAGGGTTGTTGTTGCGAGAGGGGAAGAGGTGGGGAAAGGAGGTGGGACTCGGTGGGGTGAAGGTTGCCGCTGGACGGGTTGACGCGGAGGGACCAGGTGGAGAGGCCGGTGGACTTCCAGGCGGAGAGGGAGAGGGAGTCGTAGAGGAGGCGGGAGATGGAGGCGTGGGAAAAGGGCTGCGGCGGAGGAAGGGAGGAGGAGAAGACGGAGTGGTAGAGAGGGGAGTCGTCGTGAGGTTCAGGGGGAGAGTGGAGGAGGGGAAGGAGAGGGGAGGAGAGGAAGCGGAGGAAGGGGTTTGGCTGATTGGCCCAGTCCAGGCCGCGCGGGCCCCGGGCGTAGCCCCCCGTCAGCGAGTGCTTCGTCCTGTTGTGGTAACGCGTCGCCGCATCTACAGCGGCAGCAGCAGCAGCAGACGACGACGACGATGACGATGACTCCTGTTGGTGTTGGTGTTGGTGCTGGAGTTGGGGGGGCGAGGGAGTGATGGGATTGGAGGACATGGCGAAGGTTGTGGTGGAAGAAGAGGAGAAGAGATCCCTTCTTCTTCTTCTGCTTCTCGCTGCTGTGAAGGCGGAAAAGGAGAGGGGGATGCGGGTGGTAGTACCGGGGAGGGCGAGGGCGAAGGACATGTCGCTCTCCTTCGATTGCTCTGTAGGCCGCTTTATTTGATGAAAGTAAGCGGACGAGCGGAAGGAATCGAGGTCTAGATTGGAAGGGGGTGGAAGGTTCGGTTGGTCCGGTGCAGGGTGGTCGAAGCACGTGAGTTCCAGGATTAATTGGGTTCTCTCACGTGTGCTGCCTTAAAGACGGTTGAGAATTTAATGAAATAAAAACGATTGAATTTACATAAATCTATTTTCTTCTCTATCAATTGATGGGTAAAAATATGGGTGATTTTCCAAATAACAGCCCTATATTTTGGACTTTTTACTGACAACCCCCTATTTTTATATTGTTCTATCTTTTTCAAATACCCGTAATATCATCCAATCAAATAATAATAATGATAATAATAATTTAATCATGATCCAATATTTTCGAATGAAATCATCATATTTTAGTTCATTAAAGCAATTAATTAATAGGGTTATAGTTTTCTAATTTAGTAACTAGGGACAAATACATTGTGACTGTAGCCAAGTTAGTTTAAATCACTATAAATTTTAATTATTAACTGTATCATATGCCTTCGGGAGATAATTTATTTATTTGAGAGTTTTTTTATTTATTTGAATGAAAATTAGAGTGGTAAATTTCAAAATAAGGAATGACAAAATCCCTTTTTTCTACTTATCCTTAAATTTAGCCTCAAAGTTTTCTAATAAAAATTAAGGTGTTGATATTCCAAAAATTTATTATTTGTAAATTACTTTAGGATTTTTTATATGTGTGTTCATTTATTGTAGAAAAATGATAAATAATGATGAGATATTACACAGGCATATTTTTTTAAAAAAAATTGACTTGCATATTTTACTAATAAATAAAAATATGATTATACACAATCCTTTAAATCTTCACAGATCTTAATTATTGATTTTAAAATCTCCATAGATTTTTCTTTATGACTCAAGTCACATATCATATAGTCGTTTGGTCATATTAGTTTGCTAGTATTCCATGTGGTTATAATGCTTTGTTCATATAGTCCAGGAGACTTGTTAATTTTGTTCAAGATATTTGCCAAGACTTGATCATCCACTATTTCTTAGTCATAATACAATAATAATTAGTCACAATACAAGACTTGCTCTACATTCTGCCATAATACAATAATCATTAGTCAAGAGGATAAGAAAACTAGCTCCTCCACTCCAAGAGTCGATATAAAATTTTCTATCAGAATCAAGCTTAAACCATCCTAGCCTATTGAATCATAATATGATTCATCACTAGTCCATAAATATGAACAATAATGACAAAAATAACTAGTTTTAGAATTCCAAATCAGCCACAGACCATTGGCAATAATTGCCCCTAAAAGCCGAGTACAATCATCACCCAAAAGAGTATCCTTTTTTTTTTTTTTGAGATAATACAACTGAGCGTTGATATCTCACTAGTTATTTTGCCATACCTTTTAATAACCCCTAATGCTTTCAAAACTTACAACTTTCTCGATAGTTATTTTGTCATACCTTTCAATAACCCCTAATGCTTTCAAAACTTACAGCTATTTAAGGTGCATGAAGTATTAGAGAAGGCTAAATCATGATATGATACATATACCGAACCGTATCATAAAACAAACAATGTCTAATACATCGGTAAAATAAACAATTAAAAGCCACAAAAATAACGGAAAACAAAATTGCCATTAAAATTCTCATGGAAAAGGTCACACTAAATTCTCATGTCAAGCCCGAGACAAAAGGTTATACAGTTCCTCAACATTGCCATTATAAAGCAAGCACCCTCTCTACCAACCTATGAAGGCAGGTTCCATTAGGTTGTCTTCAAACCCAAGCCTATCACCCAGCGGATATCTCAGCTAGCAAAGCATGTTGAATAGGAAACGAAGTTAAACTGAATCTGAAATTTGATGTCCATCTGCTTGCTAAGTGCTACCTGATTCTCTTTTTTTTTCTTTTTGGTCCCCTTTCTTTTGGGTGTCCAAACACCTTGAAGTTTAGTATCCAATAATTTTTCTTCAAGGACACGAGCAGAATTTTTACTTTCGAAAAGAAAGGAAAAGAACATGGGAATGGGATCATTTGCAAATCCTCGTAAAAAATCTGAGGAAACAGATGAACACCACAATGGCTATAACTGACAAAATCCAGGACTGTCTCTTCACGTCTTAAAAACTTCAAGCATTTCATTGCGTTTCATATCCTGTTATACAACAATAAAAGACAAGTTAACGCTTTCCACCAGAACAATTGCAAAACTATTTTTCCTCTCATGCTTCTTAATGTAAACAAAGAGCACAACATTCTTATGCACAACTGTCACTCTATGTGATAGTAATACAAAATAATCAAGTGCAAAATAGCCATATTCAATAGACTAGTTTGACATGAACAATATAGCTTTTTTATAAGGATTATTAATGATATTTCTCACTAAAACAATTTATTATAAGGCCTTTACTAATGTTAGGAAGTACTGACACCAGCTGAATTTGCAGATCACAGTACCAATTTGGTCAACTTCTTAGATTCAGTGGATGTCTTACTATGGTTTGCAAATTACAACCAGATCAGAAACAATGACAGACCATTTTCTGACCACTTACGAAATTTTGGTACATATTTCTAGGACCAACCAATAGGAGTAATATCATTGATATTGTTACATGGTAGATATTCCTATGCCTAATTCTTTGCATAATAAAATTCTGAAAAGGTGAAAATACGTAAAAATAATTGTTGAGTCAATAAGATTGCAAAACACTTTTTGCATTCATGAGTTTTTGTAGCGTTTACTAGAAATTTTCCCAAAACAAATGTATCAACAAATTATGGAACAGAGTGTTGGGTAAAAAAAATCCAGTAGGCATCACCCACAGAGAAGATAACTGATGAAAATTAAGGCACTTTACAAATCCACACTAGGTGCGAAAAAAAGAAAGGCTAAATCAAGTCCATTTGGATTGATAACGAGCCTGAATTCAGGTTCAATTGAATATGTTTCCAACATCTTTTTCTTTTTCAAGTGGAGGGAGCAGACCAAAAGAAAAACAGTGTCTTTTGTCTTAGAGCCCTCTAAAGGGTGCAAGGGCCTCATTCTCTTCCATAATTTACAAGGCTTCCGCTTATTTGGATAGCTATAAAGTATTCCAGGGGTTTGAAAGTTGGGCTTGGGACATGTCATATACTGGTCAATTTGAAAAGACCAATATTTGGCTGACGGATTGTCGTGTACAGGAGAACGAAGGAGGAGTTGACTTTATAGCAGGAATTTCTTGCTTGCTGGATGCAAAACTGGAATAGAACATGCTATAAAACTGTGTTTGAAAATTAGAAGTTGAATCTGATGCCGAGCTTCAGATTAAACCGCTGAACAACGAGAAGACACCACCCTAGAGCCTTTTGAACTTTTGAACAGCTTTAGAAATATTCTAAGCCTGATTGATAGGTCTAATGAATATAAATTTTCTCATATATATCGTAAGGATAATTATTGGTTAGCTATCTTCTATGGTTTCTAGAGTTTCTGTTATCTGTAGGCAAGATTGGCTTCCGCAATGATGATGCATTTTATGCTCAGAGGAGCATCAGGCATTTTGTAGAAGACTCTTAAAGTAATATAGTTACATTTTTTGGATTTTTTTTCTTTTTTAAGAATATTTTTTGTGCCTTAAAGACTATTTTTGCAAAAATTCACACATGGCAACATCTCCTATATTCCTAATTTAGTTTTCCCTAGATTGCTCAAAGAGGGAAAAAAAAAAGATGTCAATAAAAATTAAATGAGACAAACAAATTTGGTACCATTGAAGATTACAAATCTTGATTAGAGATTTCATCTTTACAATAAATTTTATCATTTTTCAAAAAATGCAAGCATACAGGAATATCATCAAAAGGAGAAGATGATTTTTTTAATTATTTTGAAAATTTCTCCTTAGTAGAAAATAATAAAAATTCATTATGTTGTAATTTTATTAATTGTGTTTTTCCTTATTGTTGCAGTGTTTCTTTTCTTTCTTGTACTTAGGTGCCTATAAAAAGGGAATAGAATTGCAATTAGAACATCAACCAATGAAATGGATGAACTTTCTGTACTACTTATGTGAGTGGTTAAACTACAATCTACCTTGATAAGTAAGATTGTAGTTGCCACTACTGGAAGATAGTGGACAAATCTCATGATAAGTAAAGCAAATTAAGAAGCAGAACATCGTTGTTTTTCTCTCCCTTAGAGCTCAGTGTGTGTTTGAACTTGTGCTATTTGTACTTTCACTGTTAAAAATGAGTTTTTTTTGTGAATTGAGTGTGTTTCAACAATCATTCAAACGTTCCCCTTTCTGTTTTGTCCTTGTTTTTCTCTTTCCACCAACCACCTAACCAATCCTGAAACCCTTACATCTTCTTTAGGTTGTCCTACATGAATATCTCATGTATTCTGCCCTCACTTTTCGGTTTGTTAGTAATGAAAATGCCTCAAAACTTCACCAAAGTGATCACATGATTAAACCAAGGAAATCAAACATCAATTTATGATAGTGAGATAGAATCAATTTGTAGTAAGCTACATTGTTGCCTCTATAGATAATTTATAGGTAAGATATATGCAGAATAAGATCCATGCAGCCAACTACAAATAATTATGTATTGATGGTTTGTTGTTATATATAACATTGAATAATAATGTTCAGTAAACTAGAAAAATAGGGCAAGGAAGAAGCATGAATGTATCACATAATAGTTGTAGGCTTGTAGCATTGAATCAACTATGAACACTGACAGAAAACTGCTCAAGATGATAAAGGCATGTCTAAGATTTAAAGATAAGAAGAGAACCTTATGTATGACATAAGAAAAATTAGATGAAAGTAAAAGGATACAAAGATGGACGTACTAATGAAAAAATTTTCCTACAATAAATTTGAACTTTCTTAGGAAGAAATTGAGCAAGGTTTTAGAAAGCAGATGCAAAATTGTAACGAACATTTATGATAGAATCTAGTAGTATTTGGGTGTGTGACTAGAATATATTGTTGCATACTTTGACTTGTTCACGAAAAGACTGACTGGTGTTCCGAACTACAGACTACATGATGCGAACTAGATTCTTTGTTAGGACAACCAATCACATTACCTTTGAACTAATAGATATAGAATAACATAGTGGCTTTTGTAATAGATAGGTACAATGATGCAGCACATAAGATATGCCCACCACATGGAATTGTCAGCAGGATCAGTTTTTTGATGTTTCTAACATAATAGAATATTCCCTAAATCTGTACCCTTGAAACTTATACATGATACCTACAACTTCAGAATAGATTAACAAAGAATGAAGACCAAGAAGGAAAGAAGGATTTAATTTTCCATGAGTAATAATGTGATTGCTAAACATCAACTTCTCATCAATAAACCAGTTAAGCTCATCTTTAATTAGCTGAGGAACATTTCATCTTTTTTTTTTTACTTCTTTTGGAACATTAGCAAAATAAAGAACAGATCCGTATCCAAAGTACATGTAGCATGCTCAGATTGGTCTAGCAAAAAACTTTTGATAAATACATGTTGCAAAAGGCCGACAAAGTAAAATCACTACCACGAGAATCATGGAAATGGTATATGGATAAATAACATTAAAGCATAGAGCATTGTTGATATTATACACAGATCATTTGGGTTTAATCTGACATATAAGAAAAAATGATGAAAAAAATGATAAATCCGCTCTAGACATGCTTTCGGTGTTTTTGAGAATTTTCCAATAGGCAAGTTGCAAGGGATATGAAGTGGTGCCATCGGTCGATGGCCTGGAGATGTGAAATGTCAATTTCTCAGCATCCTAGAACCCTTGGGTAGCACCAGATTGTATGGAGCTTCGATTATATGTCTAAGGATGGATCATTGCTTGGTCTTATTGTCGATGTCGCATTCGCACTTGTGCACAATGACTTGTATATGGTGGATTGCCTTGAGTCCTTTATTGTGTGATCATTCAGAGCTTGCGAAGTCCATATTTTTATTTTGTAACATCTATAAAGCAAGGATCATAATTTCGTACTGTACTAGAGTTTCGAGCGTAGCTCGGTACGATACGATATAAAGTACCGATAAATAAATAAATAAATAAATAAATACATAAATATATATATATATGTTTTAAAAAAAAAGGCGACGATGTCCTCCTTTTTCTGCCCGCGTGGGGAGAAGAAACCGAGGTTTCCTTTTCCCCGCACAAAAAAGGGTGACGAGGCGATGTCGCCACCTTGTCACCTCGTTTCTTTTGCTCGCGTGGGGAGAAGAAACGTCGCCTCGACGACGCTCCGTTTCTTCTCCCTACAACATCACCAAGGCTTCGTCTCCCCACACAGATGAGGAGAAGTCGCCGACGACACCGAGGCCTCGTCGCCTCAGATGAGGAGGCAGCATCTCATATGTGGCAACCGGCGAAGGAGGGCAACGACGGCTTAGGATCATCGAAGGAGAGCGGCATCGGATCTCCAGGTTCTCCCTTCTCTTCTCCCTCTTCTTTCTTCTCCCTCAGCTCTCCCTCGGCTAATACCACCCGGTAACGGGCAGTGACGATCGAAATCGACTGTCACAAACCGATTTAGGGTGGTAACGAGATAGAAGCAACCCCGATCGACAGTACCGCCCGGTACGAACAGTATTATTCGAAATTAAAATCCTTGCTATAAAGTATCCTTTGCAAACGAACATAAGAAGGGTGTCACATTATTTAGACAAAATCAGCTAAGTCATAGTTATGCTAGTGTTGTGCCAATGGAATATTATATACAAAGGCGAGGCCACTGTTTGGCTTGTTTTGACTAGCATAAGGGGTGTACCAACCATTTTATGCCAAGTTATATTATGCCTACAACATACCAAAATTCTCGTCCTGTCAATATTTAAAACCTTACTATCAAGAAATTATTAATCATTAGAAATCATTATTGTTATGTTCCTCAAAATTTTAATATAATAGAAAAGCCTACCACCTGAAATGGTAAGACTGCATAAATTACCCCTTCTTAAACCCTATATCTGTCAAAGCCTTCTACAATTGTCACCCTTTTTACCTTAACCTATTAACTTTCAAGGGTTTAAATTGGCACCCAAGTGTTCGACTAGGCACTCAGGTGCGGCGAGGCAAGGCCCAACATCCTCAGGTCTTAACGAGGTGGTGCGCTTCAATGAAGTGTCGCCTAGGCACTCACCTGAACCCAGGCATCAAGCGCCTCGGGTAAGCACCTGGTTCAAACGAAGTAGCCGAACCAGACTATTAAATCCGATTCGATTAAACAGTGGCTAGTTGGTTTGATTGAACCAAGCTACAGACTACTACTATACTTATAAAATAACATAGAGGTTTTAATCTCCCACCATATCTTCCAATAGCTTCAATCATCTCTTTAAAATTGTCGAAACAACAATTACTAAAGGGAAGACCAGCCTGATCGAACAAATAAGCAATGTGCTAAATTGTTCTTCCCGTTATTTCCTTATCACAAACATCACTTATATTTGTTTGTCTTAATTTTGCTCCTGATTGCCCTTGTTGCATTTGTGGCCCTTGATACATATATAAGTCCATCGGTCCTTTTTTATCCTTCCTAACAACCATGGCTTCTTTTTTCTTTTCTGTCATATACTCTTTTCCGACTTGGATTGATACTTTCAAAATAATCTTCTTCTTCATCATCTCTAATATATTCAACATTATCCTCAAATAAAATCTCATAAGATTCATTCCTTTGCACTTTTTTTTCAGTCATAAAAGTAAATTATTTATGAGGCTATGGATAGAACAAAAAAGACGATTAAAAAGTCTTCTGATGGAAATGAAAAAAAGTATAAGAAAATATTTGCAATCATTGATGAAAGATGGAATTGTCAACTTCATTGTTCATTACATGCAACAAGATATTATTTGAACCCAAAATTTTTTTATAAGAACACCTACATTAAGTTTGATGCAGAAGTTGTAAATAGGTGCAAAATTATTTCCAAGCCTTGAGGTGCAAGATAAGATCATACATGAATTATCTTTACATAAGAATGTCGATAGTCTTTTTGGAATTTCAAGGGTAGTTCAATCTATGACAACTACACCCCCAGGTATTTATAAATTTATATAATTAATTTCATGTATAATATATTATTGTTAAAGTAAATTTTGCAGTTAGATTGTGGAATCTATTTGGAAATTTCACTCCGAATTTATAGCAATTAACTATCAAAATTCTTAATTTGACTTGTAATGCTGCAGGTTGTGAGCGAAATTAGAGTGTTTTTGAGCATGTAAGGATCACAGAATATTTTTATTTTAATTAATCTATTCTTTTTTAAATTACATGGCATGATAGATTCATACAAAAAAGAAATCGGTTAGAGCATCAACGATTACATGTCTGGTTTATATAAAGTATAATCAAGCATTAAAGGCTCGTCATAATTTGCGAAATACCATTGATCCGATCTCATTATAGACATTGATGATTCAAATAAGTGATCGATGGGGAATAGAGCAAACTTGTAAGATGCTGAAGATGAGCTTATATTTAAATATGACAACTTGATATGGGAAGATGTGGCAAGAGCCTTAGGTGTTTAGAGAATTACAGATATATACAAGACATATAACAAAGGCAAAAATAAGTACAAAGGCCTCAAATTCATCTCTTGTCATTGTCGAAGACGAAACATATTTTGATAAAAATGAATGAGAGGAAAAGAAAATTGATGATATGTTTGAAAATGACAATGTTAATTATGATGATAATTGAATTTGATGTAAAACTTTATTGTTTTAAGTCTTTTGACATTTTTGTTATTAGAAGATGGATAATATGACTTGGTAGTTGATACTTTAGATCTTTTTAATTTAATATCGCATTTTTATTTACATAATCATATTTATCAATTGTATTATATATTTTTTTATATTTTAATATTTTATAGTGCCTCACTTCGCTTGAGCTAGTGACTAGCGCCCTCGAGTACCTTAGGACCTTGGCACCTAGTGCTTTGTAAATCGCTGTTAACTTTCAAGAATGTGCAAAGAGAAAAAAAAGAACTTTCTCTTCCACTTAACCATATCTAATGTTTGATTACCATGGAAAAGGTAGTCTCTTAGTAAAAAAATAATTTATTTGCAACATTAATTGATAACAATGTATGGCAACTAAAAGTATTGTGTCAATGATACTAATTATGCTGGCATCATGGAACCAGTACCTCAAGGCAGCAAGGACTGGTTGAACTTTTTCAAAAACCTCATTCACAGTTCCTACTGCATTAATCTGCACACAGTGATATTACTGTTAAGTGTTAACACAGAGAATATGCTCAAAAAAATGATAAATCAAATTCTACTGGGTAGGAAAGCAAAACTCTAACAGCACTTTACCATAAAAATTTTTATAACTGCTACCACAAGTTATTTAATTAAGAACTTTGATTCACTAGATGGATGAATAAATGATCATACATCTTCTAGTTTAATATATGACACTTGGAGACACTAATTAGTAAAAGATTAAAATTAAATAAACTGAGATGAAATCTCCATTTCAAGAACAAAAAACAATGCAAATTGAATCAGATTTACATTTTTTTATACTTTACTATTAAATGATTAAAACTATTTCTGCTATTTGCAGGTATAATAACAGTAGTAACTTTCTCGGACTGGAACTTGAGATTCTAAAATTCATTTAAACCGAGTTATATATAATGTTTGGGTGCTTCAATGAAAAACACATTAATTTGTGCATGCATAATATGGGCTTGATTTGCTAACTCATCAGGGCCTAAAGATGAATTTGAGGAAGAACAGTTAGTTATTTTTGTTAGTATTTAGCTATTTGGAGCTTTGGACTCATCAGTGATTGCAAAAGGCGCTCGGGCGAGGCGAGGCGAGGCCCGAGCG